TAAATTATTTTTCTTTGATCTTTTTTATCTTCATGATCATCAGTCCACTAAGTGATGTTGTTGCTACTGTTTGTTGTGCAACTGTCTGTCTCTCTCTCCTCTTATCTCTCACTTCTCTCTCTCTCTCTGTCTCTCTCTCTCTCTGTCACTTCCAACTGGTCAAGGCAGATGACCCACCCACCTAAAAGCCGAAGGATCTGTCCGGTTTCTGCCTTTTACAGGCAGTTTTTCCTTGCCCCCGTCCGCCCAAGTGGTTGCTCATGGTGGTACTGTTGGGTTCTCTGTAAATGTTAAAAGGAGTTCGGTCTAGACCTGCTCTATTTGAAAAGTGTCCTGAGATAACTTCTGTATGAAATTGGGCTATACAAATAAATTGATTGAATTGAATTGAACTCCAGTCAGAGAATCACAGAGCTTGTCCTATTAAGACTTACTGCGGTTTTATTCTCTCAAACTGAGTATTTTTGAATCCCAAAGATTCCATTTTTGGTCCAATAAGGACTCCATTCAATGTTTAGTTGAACTGTGGGGTCTGTATTACGGACTGACTGTAGATACAGTGGTGCTGAGTTTTGGTTTTGTGTAAATTGAGCTCCCCTGCCAGAGGGTGAGAACAGGTTCCACACAGCAGGTTAAAAGGATTTGGGTGTCTGTCAGTGTGGCTACAACAGATAAAAGGGGGCAGAAAGAGCTTTAATGATGTAGAATGTATATGAGGCTGGACTCACGTATCCCTATCACCATCAATCTGCTGGCAATGTGCTTCCTCTGATGAGGAGGAAGAGGAGGAGGAAGAAGAAGAAGCAGGGCGACCTGCAGAAGTACATAAACAGTGTTTATGAAGCCTCCTTCATCAGATATCACGATGATCATCGGATACATAAAATACAGGGACAGAAAAGATGAATTGTAACTAAAACTAAAGAGGTTTTTAATGATGTTCACAGCTTCATCAATATATTAATGTGTGAAAAGAATCTTTATGAGGTTAACAAATTATACTCACAGATCTGAGGATTTCCAAACATCCATCATGATGTTCCTGCAACACCGACCTGTCAGCAAGTAATAGACACTGTTTGTTACTAATTATTATAGTTTATCAATTAGATATTCTAGGACATAGAAATATTATGAGGGTTCATATTATAATTTTTGCAGTCATTTTGATGAACACTAGTGGAAAGTATTTTCTAAACTGATCACACCAGCAATAGCAGCGGTGTTAGCTAACATAGATATAAAGTGATAAAGTAACACGATGATGATTACACTGGAGAAAGGACATTGGCTGATAATCCATGACTGAATGTTTGACCTGTAGCTCTCCATAGGGAAACTGAATCCTGGCGAGTCTGGGCCTGTAACACACACAAACAAACACACACCACACAAACACACACACACATTTAACATAAATTATTATTAACATTATTTCTAGGACAACAGGAACATTATGAGGGTTATATATTATAATATTTACAGTTGTTGAATCTTTCAAATAAAATAAAGTTGATTGAACTTCAGTGTCAGTGTGGATACAACAGATAGCAGTTGACAGAAAAGATGAATTTAACTAAACTATAAGAGGTTTTTTTTTTTTTTACTTTATTTTTTCTTCAATCAATAAAAAAAAAAAATACAAAATACAAAAATACAAAAACACAGGGGGGTAACACTACTTTGTCACATACAGGTGCCCATTTTGACCAAATCTTACAGTAAATAGCTCCGTGTTAATTGCAGACCTATAGGTCATTTGTTCCATTGATCGAATTTCTCTACAATGTCCAACCAGTGGCTCAGTCCAGGTGGCTGCAGTTCTCAGGCAACTTCTTGTAATGGCCTTCTTAGCTTGCAAGAGATAGATCTTGAACAGGATAATAAGTCCTTCTTTACCTATTACACTGCTGGTATCAGTCCTAGATACTATATCTCACGCCTCATTAGGAATATTATATGCCAAAAATTTCACCCCCTAGGCTCTCAGAACGCCCTTCCAAAATGACCGTAATTTTATACATGACCAAAATATATGAAATGGTTGGCATTCAGTTGCCCACATTGTCTCGCAACCAGTAACTGTTGTTGACGTAATTGTTTATTTTTTAATTTTTGGTTAATAAAAAAGCTTGTTTAAATCTCCCAACCAAAACTCCCTCCATCTTTTAGAGCTTGTTGATGATAATGTTTGGGTCTTAAATATGGACTGCCCCAATCACTCCCCAGACAGCTCAATGTTAAATTCTTTTTCCGCATTTCACTTTATATACAGCTGTATTTCTTCCCCTGTTGCTTCCAATAAACTTTGTACAGTTAGAGGAGTTTGCTTATACGCACCTGTCAGCACCTCAATCACATCATTCCCTTCAATGAGATTTCCTTTCTTAAATTTCTGTCTCGTAAAAGTGTCTTAATTGAAGACATCTAAATAAATATCCATTTTCCAATCCAAACTTATTTTTAAGTTGTCTAAATGATTTTAAATGATGCTTATCTACAAGTGTACATATAGCTGTTATTCCTTTGTCTCTCCACTTTTCAAAGGTCTTGTCTAACGTTCCTGGTCTGAACCTGGAGGTGTAGGAAGGCCAAATCAACAGCTTACAGTCTCCTGTTAACTTATATTTTTTTTACCACATCATACCATATTAAAAATGTTTCTCTCATAATCAAGTTTTCACCCTTAAGAAGAACCATGTGTTCTTTTCCACTTAACCTTGACTGTGGAGGGGCCTGACCCAGGCCCATCTCAATGTCCTTCCATCTGGCTTGATAGCTTGAAGAGCACCAATATACTACGTATCTTAATTGTGCAGCATAGTAGTATTCTCTAAAGTTTGGCAAAGCCAATCCTCCATTTTCTTTGTCTAGCTGAAGGGTCTTGAGTCTTATCCTAGGCCTGGCCCCCGCCCAGATGAACCTGGAAATTAACTTGTTCCATGCTGAGAATTGTGAATCTGGTACTCTAACTGGGAGCGATAAAAAAAGATATAACAACCTAGGCAAGAGGTTCATCTTGACCACCTCAATTCTTGAGCTTATATCCATTACTAGTGCTGACCATTTTACCACATCTCTTTGAATTTTATCGTTTATTAGGTTGTAATTTGTCTCGTAGATTCTGTCGAATTCCTGAGTTATTATCACTCCTAGGTATTTTATTGACTTAGCATTCCAATTTAAATTATATCTCTTCCTGATTTCTTTAGTTGGCTTGTAATTGAAAGTTAAAACCTGAGTTTTTGACATATTCAGTTTGTAGCCCGACATCAATCCATATTCTTCCAATATCTTTACTAATGTAGGAAACGTTGTATTTGGGTCTTGAAGGAAGGTAATTATATCGTCAGCAAATAGACCTATTTTGTGTTCATCTCTTGCTATAGTGATTCCTTTCAACTTGTCCTCTTGTCTAATTATTTGAGCAAGTGGCTCTATGAAAATCGCGAACAGGGCAGGGCTAGCACAACAACCTTGCCGTGTCCCTCTACAGTTTAAAAGTGTCTTTCAGGTGTCCATTGATTTTAACTTCGGCTGATGGGTCAGTATACAATGCCTTTATACAATTAATGAATTTATCATTGAATCCAATCTTCTCTAGTACTTTATACAAAGAATCCCAGCTGACCCTATCAAACGCTTTTTCAGCGTCTAAGCTGATCAGGGCAGCGCTCACATGGTGTTTATTAACATGGTCTATAATGTGAAGGGTGCGCCTGATGTTATCCTGTGTTTGGCGTCCTTTTACAAAGCCTGTCTGGTCTTCGTGTATCAGGTCAGGCAGAAAACACTCCAGTCTTTTAGTGATAATGGATGTGAACAGTTTATAATCTACATTCAGAATCGATATTGGGCGATATGACTCACAGTATTCTTTATTTTTCCCCTCTTTGGGAATGTCAGAAATCACAGCATCCCTCCAGGATGGTGGGGCTATAGCCTTCTCAAGTGTCCAATTAAATGATTCCAGTAGTATAGGGGCGGTAAGATATTTATTTTGCTCTGAGCCTATTGAGGGGAGGTCCAGTGAAATCAGGAATTGTTTTATTTTCTCTTCGTCAACCTTCTCAGGCTGTGAATATAAGGTCTCATAGTAGTTTTTAAAGATTCTATGAATTTCTTCTGGATCGTATTTTAATGTATTTGAAAGGGTCCCTAATTTTATGAATTGAATTCGTTATTTGTTGCGTCCCAAGGCGCCTTGCTAATGTGTTGCCCTTGGGCCTGATTCATAGAAGGTTTGCTTTATGAATCTCAGTTTATTTTCTATTTCATCGTTAATTAAGTTTTCTATTTGTTTCCTTATATCTTTAATCTGATTCCCTATTGTGTCCTTATTGTCATTCTTAGGTTGTTGTTTCTCTAGTTTTTCCAATTCCTTCTCTAATTGATCATATTTTGACCTGGTCATCCTTATTATCATTTATACATTCACCAATTTCTTTTTTAATTTCTTCCACTGTGGATTTATTGTTTAAAATTCCAATATTCAGCCTCCATAGCGTATTACTTGGCTTGCTGTTCAAATGCATATTTAGATAAACAATGCTGTGATCAGACACATCTGCTGTTCCGATTGTGCACTCATGTACCCTGTGTCTATCTATAGTATTCATCAGGAAAAAGTCCAACCTAGAGTGTACTTTGTGTGTAGCAGAATAGTGGGTGAATTCCCTATACCTTGTATGAACACTTCTCCACACATCAAATAAGTCTGCCTCTCATCAGAAAATGTAGGTGTTTTGATTTTGGGGATCCGTGTCTGCTTGTGCTTGTTGTGTCTAATTGGTGGTTCAAAATTGTATTCCAATCTCCAGAACAGACAAGGAGTCCCTCACTCTCAGATATAATCAGGTCGAATAATCTTTTGAAAAAAGATCTGTCACTCTCCGGAGGAGCATAGACATTGACTAATGTGACCAAAATATTGTCCATCCTACCCTTGATTATTATATATCTACCTTCATCATCTCTTTTTTCTTTAATCAGGTCAAAGTTTAGTGAATTAAATATCATTATCACAACCCCTCTCTTTCTACTATTTTTACATGAACTATAATATGTGTTGGAGTACCCAAACTTTTTTAGCTTCTTGTGTTCCGGCTTTGACATGTGTGTCTCTTGTAAAAATATTACTTATCTTATCTTATCTTTCCTCATTTTTGCTAGCACCCTACTCCTCTTGACCGGGTTACTCAAGCCGTTGACATTAAGAGAGGCTATTTTCAAATTATGTGACATTATCATTCGAACACAGATAAATGTTAATGGCTTTGTGTTGTCCCCCAGATAACACAGTAAAAAAAAGAACAAAGGCAGAACAAAGTCTGAACATAGTAAAAAACAGACCTCCAAACTGGGAGGAGAAAACTCCTCACCGAGACCCCGTTGGTGGGTCGACGGTAGATCCTATAACTAAGATAGGGCCCTATGCATGGGGTGGCTAGGCCATTTGAGAGAACTAGCCTTACCATCCTAAAGTCCAACGTAGGCTATTGAAAATTAAGTCGCCTGATATTAGTCCAGTTTAGTTCTTGTATTTCAGTCTCGTGGTAGCAGAACTCTTACCAGCCTGTGATGAGTTCTAATTCTTCATTTTACCACCCTTGTGCTGGGGATCCACTCTGTGCAGTATGATCACTCTGGAAACTCTGAAGTTTATACCGCGCTCTCCGGGTGACGTCGTCTTCTGCCTCGCGATGTCCCGTTACCTTCTGCCACGACCCCAGCAGCTCTCCAAGACGTGTTCCCCAGTCAGTCTCCTTTCACTTTCAGAGCCTTTTTGATCCCATTGTATTCTTTGCGTTTCTTGACCACCTCGGCAGTGTA